GCTGCTGAGGCTTAGAGAGGGGACCTGCCTAAGTTCACATACAGGGAGAATGTCCTGGAACTGGCTCCTAAGAACCAAGGGTGCTAACTGTTCTAAGTGTTGTACATGCATTAACTCCATTAACTCAGGTAATACAGCAACCTGTGGGGAGGTATGCATATTTATTTATTTATTTTCGAGACAGAGTCTCTGTTGCCTGGGCTGGTGTGCAGTGGCGTAATCATAGCTCACTGGAACCTCAAACTCCTGCGCTCAAGTGATCCTTCCATTTCAGCCTCCTGAGTAGCTGGCACTACAGGTGCATGCTACCACACCCAGCTTATTTTTAAAATTTTTTTTAGATCTGGCTATGTTGCTCAGGCTGGTCTCCAACTCCTGGCCTCATGCAATCTTCCTGCCTCAGCCTCCTAAAGTGCTGGGATTACACATGTGCGCCACCACACCTGGCCCATTATTGTTTTTATTGAACAAACTAGGAAATCAAGGAACAGAGAGGTTAAGTAACTTGTCTGATGTCACCCAGCTAGCAAGTGATACAGCCAAGATTTGAATTCAGGCAGTTTGGCCACAGAGCTTTTACATGCTTTGCTCTCTAGCTTGATGAAGGGGGTGACGCGGAGGGGGTGATGATGGCATTGCCTCTCGGGACACAGCACGCCACAGTTTGCACAGTATTTGCACGCTTGGTATCTTATCTGCCCTTCAGCCCAAGGGAGACACAGAAGTCACGATCTCCATTTTACAGAGGAGGAAATTAGGACCAGAGGAGGGTAGTGATTTGCCCAAGGTCACTCAGCAAGTTGCAGGGGTGGGGCTTGGACCTTAGGTTTGCCACCGTGGCCTAGACCCTCCCCCCTCCCTGGTGCCTCCCAGGAAAAGGGGTTTTGGACACCCACTGCCAGCAGGAGTTCTGGGCTGGGAGGCAAGGGTGCTAGGGAGGAACCCCAGCTTTGTCTCTGGCCTGCTGTGGCAGCCTCAGTTTCCTCATCTATAAAGTAAACCAGCTGGATCCGTTGGACTCCGAAGGCCCTTCCAGCCGGAATCCACAGGCCTCCCTCTGAGAGGCGCTTGGGGAGGCAGCGTTCCACGCTGACCTCACTGCTTCCCCCAGCAGTGGCCCCGTTTCCCCTGCAAGATGTTTTTTCCACCTGCTTGTAGCCCTCGCCCTCGCAGGAAGCTGGGGAAGACGCCCAGCCACGCCCAGAGCGTTACACTGGCGCAGGAATCAGGGCCTCAGTTACCCTCCACCCTGCTGCCCAGCGAGCACTGACTCCATCCTGCTTCGCAGCAGAGCAGCCAGCCATCTGTCTGCCTGTCTGCCTCCCAGCCGGAACATGAGCAAGTTGAGGGCAGAGGTCACACCGGCAGGTCAGAGCTTGACAAGGAGTGAGCTCCCCAGTCTTGGAAACATGCAAGGAGAGGCTGTGCTCGGTGAAGCAGGACGTTCAGCGGGAGAGAATGGAGCTCAGTGGCGGAGGACTGAGGGGTCTCCTGGCTGTAAGGCCCCGTGAGGGATATTCAAGAGCCCATTGGCACAGGAGACCTCATGGCACAGGAGAGGACTGGGTGGCTCTGCCTGCTGTGGGCAGCTGAAATTGAGCAAAGAAGCCTGACCCTGAGGCCTAGCCCGGACGCCTGAATTCACAGGCGTCCACTGGCCTGAGGGCCGGCAAACTCAGAGCTCATGGCTTTCGTCCTGGCAGGGCCATCTCTCTGGGGGAGGCCTCCATGGATGCCACAGCCCCCGTGTGTCTGACGTCGGGAAGGTCTGTGAGGTGGGGCGTGCCCCCACGAGGTCTGCGTGTGGCAGCTGGAGCCGACCCACCAGGAACCTGCCTTGTCCCTACTCCGCACGCCAGGCTGGAGCCCAGCCCGCTGCAGCTCTGCCCGGCTCAGTGTGGAGCCCGTGCCTCCTCCTGGCACCTCAGCCGCCCTGACAGCTGGCAAGGCCAGGTTCCCCTCTCCCTTTCACAGAGGAGGAAACAGAGGCCCCAAGGCCTGAGCGTGTGGCCGGCAGTCACAGAGCCCAGCCTGAGGTCCAGCGTCTTTCCCAGTGGCCTGTGACAGTGACGTTCTCACGTGCCAGTGAAGCCAGGGTGGGCAAGGCCTGAAGGGGGCGTGTGGGAGATGGGGCGGGCGGGGAGCGGGGAAGGGGGATCATTTCAGAAAAGGAGCCCAGGCCCGTTCAAAGCCCTGTTCCCTGCTCACAGGCTTGAGCCCCGCACAGCCCTGCAGCCCTCCTACTCCCCGCCCAGTGGTGACATTACTCACGGCCACTGCAAGAGCTTCTGAGAAAAGCCCCCCCTTCGAACTGCCTACCCATGGGCCACGAAGTGGCTCAACCACCTGGGGCCGTGGACAAAGGGCCGCACCACAGCCCAGCTAAGGAAAAGCCTGTCCCTGGGAGCCCACGCTCTGGGACCGACACCGCTGAGTGAAGCCTTTGGGAGCTCAGGCTTTGCCACGAGACTGGGCCCGGACGGTGCCTCGTGTTTGCTTTTATTTACTGGGCACCTACCGTGTGTCAGACCCAGAGCTGGGGGGCTCCGAGCAGTCACTTCGGTTTTTGAATCTCCATCTCCTCAGGTGTAGAATGATGACGCCCACCCTGTGTGCTTATCAGGAGGATGATGCCAGTTCTTAACTTCCAGGTGGTTCGAAGCACCTTACGTTCACGGGATTCTAACAATGGCCCAGGAAGCGGAGCACCATTCTCAGCTGCACTTTGCAAATGAGGAAGCCAACGCAGAGAAGGTAGGTGACTTGCTCACGATCCAAAACCACCACGTGATCGCGTCAAGGCCAGGTAATTGGCTCTAGTGCCAGTGTGCTCAACCAGTGAACCACACTGTCCCCAGGACGGCCGGGCAGAGCGCCTAGCAGAGGGTGCAGCCCTGTGAGTGCTCCAGAAACGCTATTTCCTTTCTCCTCTCTTCCTGTTTAAGTGTCAAGGTTCTTCAGGGACTGTTATTGATGCACAGTGTGGTCGCCGTATTTAGGAACTCCTTGGCCACCGTCCTGGCATCCTCTAGCCTGGGGACTAGTTTTCTAAGGGACCTCAGTGCCTGTCGTAGAAGTTGTGCACAGCTGACACAGCCAGACTGCAGCACCACATGGCTTCATGCCTTCCAGGAAGGCTTAGCAAACACCTTGTTCCTCTCTTGGTATTGTCCTCGGGCCACTAATGACAGTGTCCCCAAAGAAATTGTCGCCAACTGTGAGCTCTCTCCTCCATACAGAGGGAGCTGTATGTTTTGGCCAGTTATTGCACGTATTAAACTAGCCCCTGTACTGGGTTGAATTTGGCTTCCCAAAATTCACGGCCACCTGGAACCTGTGAATGTGACCTTATTTGGAAATAGGGTCTTTGCAGATATAATCGAGTTAAGATGAGATCCTCCTGGATCAGGGTGAGCCCAGAATCCAATTACAGCTGGTGTCCTTGTAAGAAATGGGAAGTTTGGATACAGACACACAGGGAAAAGGCCGTGTGGTGATGGAGGCAGAGGTTGGATGATGCATCCGAAGGCTGAGGGACACCAAGGATTGCCAGCAAGCACCAGAAGCCAGGAAGAGGCAGGAAGCCTTTGGCCCTAGAGCCTTCAGAAATAGTGCCGCACTGCTAACAACTCGATTCTGGACTTGTGGACTCCGGAACTGTGAAAAAATGAATGTCTTGTTTTAAGCCACCCAGCGTGTGGCAATTTGTCACAGCATCCCTAGGAATTGAATACACCCCTAAACCCGGTGGTATAAAGCAACAGGGTTTCCTACCTTTCAATTCTGTGGGTTGGCTGGGCTCGATTGGGTGGTTCTTTGCTCCACATGGTGTCAGCTTGGTGGCTCAGGCTGCAATCGGCTGGAAGCCGGGCTGGGGCTTCACTCACCCGACTGGCAGGTGGCACTGGCTATTGGCTGGGGGGCCTTGGTTCTTCTCCACGTGGCCTCTGATCTCCATGTGGCCTCTCTAGCAGGATAGCCACGATGTCCTCACATGGCAACTGGCTTCAGAGGTAGGAGCAGAATAGGGCAGAAACGGAAGCTGCGAGGTGTCTTAAAGCCTAGGCCCAGAAGTTCCAGAAAACTATTTCCACTGTATTCTGTTGGTCAAAGCGAGTCTCAAGGACCGTCTCAATTCAAGGAGAGGGAAAATAGATGCCACTCTTGCTGGGAGGTATGACAAAGACAATGTAAGAGGTATCTGCGATGGGAGAGGTGGGTACGGCCATCTTTGGAAACAACCCACCACCGTGCGTGTGTTTTGGCAGAGGCCTCTGCCAAGGGCCCCAGAGATGTGCTCCCCGTCAGCGGGCTTCCTGACAAGGCTGAGATAGGAACACTGCCTGAGCGGGGATCCCCCAAACCCACGAGCTGCAGGCCCAGCTCAGCCACCACCTTGCTGGGTGACCTTGGGGCAGTCCCTGGCTCACTCAGTGATAATTTACTGAGCACCTACCACGTGTCAGACCCAGAGCTAGGCACTAGGTCCCAGGAGTGAATAGGCCAAGTCCCTGTGGAACTTTCAGTCTGGTGGAAGGAAAAAGCACATAACTAGACAGCCCAATTGCAGAGTGTGACAAGTAGGAGAACTGCTGGGAGTAGGGCTGGAGCATCTCTGAGGACAGAGAGGCCGGGCATGGCCGCAGGGGAGAGAGCTGGCAGGTGAGAAGGGACGGGCGTTTTGTTTCCTTGTCCCAACATTGAGCCCTGCCTGGGGGTGGGGCCAGGTGGTGAGCACTCAGGCAGGGCGCTGAGAGAGCTGGGTCCTCTGAAGCCGGCCTCAAGGCCAGCAGGTGGGTGCAGTGCCTCTGGGGAGAAAGATCAGGAGAAGTGGCAAGAAAGGCCCAGCCTCCTGGGGACCCTGCAAGGGCCCGCCCCCGTGCCTCTGCCCTGCCATTCTGGGCCGCTCTGGGCTCAGCCTGCCTCACAGAGTTGGGAGAGGCTCTAAGACAGCGAATTAGTCACAAGACAAATCACTTCCTTCTGCTCTCGTCTTTATTACTGCATTCAGCCCTAATGGGCACGGGGTGGGCTGGGGGTGGGGCCAGAGATGCCAAGCACAGCAAATCTCCTCTGCCTCAGTTTCTCCCTCTGCGCACGGGGAGGAAAGGCTCCCCCTGCTCCCTTCACAGGGATACTGTGAGGTTCCAAGGCCTGGGCCTTTCAGCCCCAGAGTGCCCATGCTGCCCAGACGTGGTCCTTGCCCTGAGGGGCTCCCCATCGGTGAGGGGACCTGTGCCAGGGCCCAACATTAGCAGACGTTGGTAGCGAAGGGCAGATGGGTCACAGCCCAGGGACCAGGCAATGTCCGCAAGCCTCTCAGCCGTGGGTCTGGCTTCACCAAGCTCCATCCTGGAAGTTGACGACGGGTCCTGTCGGGTCCTGTGTGGGGCAGGGGCATCGACACCCCCACTTCTGGGCAGGCTTCTGTGACTCACTCATACCATAGTCCAAGGGGCCCCCAAGCCTAGAGGACAGGGAGCCAGGCCCCCTCCTTTTCAGCCTTGGGTCTTCGCTGAGGGCCAGGCTCAGGGTGGGAGGGGCAGCCCCATGGGGACTGGTGGCAGAGGCCTGGTTGTGCCACGTAAGGAAAGCAGGAAGTCCACATAGAGGAGGCCGCCCAATCCACTCCAGAAGAGCCGCGAGGTAGGTAGGTCAGCAGACAACGGCAGTCTTGTCCAGGTGTGGCAGGGGGACCACCGTCACTTCCAGCATCTTTAGCTGGTGGTGCCCAGTGGGGGCTTCGGAGAGGCCGGCTGACTGAGGGTCACGCTGGGAAAGCTGGCGACAAAGCTGTCCCACCTTCTCCTTACCTGCTGGAAGGCAGACAGGGGAGGTCAGGGCCTGTGCCACGGCGAGTGGTGGGCTTCGGGTGTCGTTCCACCCACAGCCACGAGGTGGGGGTAGACCCCAGGGAGAGGAGCGTGGCTCACTAGCGACCCTTTCTCTTAGAGGAAGGAGGCAGGGGCCAGGAGCCCGAAGCTCCCCACAGAGGGGTCTGGATCTCCGTTTCCATCCCCGGGGAAGAGGGTCACGGTATGGAACTGTTGGAGGTTGTACTGGCTGATCCCTTGCCTCCTGCTCCATTCACCCATCCAACACACTGTCAGATTAATCATCTTAAAACGGCATATGGCCTCAGCTGCCTGCTCTAAAACCTTCAGTGACTCCCCAGTGCCTGTGGGATAAATCCCAAACGCCTGCAGCACTCTCTCCAGCCTCATCTCCAGACAGCTCTGTTGCCACCTTGGTACACGGCCCTGCATGGATGTGCCTCTGAACCTTGGCCTCCCCCGGTCCCTCTCCTTGCAGTCCCTACCTGCCCCCTGCGGCCCCGTCCGTCCTTCCACCCTCTCCATACCTGTCGGTACTGCCTCAGCCACGCCGGGCTGCCTCCTCGCTGGGCTTGGATCAGCTGCTCTGTGTCCCCCAGGCCCCCGGGCAGCCACTCCTGAGCGGGGGCATCCAGCCCTTCTGTGCCTCCATCCAGGCCCCGGGACTTGGACTTCTCACGCCCTTGTCTGAGGCTCAGCACCCGGCAGAGTCGGCCCCCCAGGGCCCTCCCGCAGGGCTCCTGGAGCTTTCCATAGGTGGCTCGGGGGCCTCGCAAGGACTGGCTCCGCGGCCCCATTCCCATGGCTCTGGAGGCTGCAGGGCAGGACCGCTTCAGCCCCTCAGCAAGCCACCGGCCCTCTGAAATGGCTTGGCGCCTCCACACATCTGACGAGATCACCTGGGGGCAAAGGTTGGTGCCGCTGAGGTGGCTGTCATAAACCAAAGGGCAGGCCACAGGGACTGAGCATCCCTGAGTCACCTCCCCACGGCCCCCGCTCCCCAGCAAGGAGTGCCGGCCAAGGGGCTGGATCGTATTGCCTCTTCCTCCTTCTCTCCAGGCAGCCTTCCCTGACCACTCCACCCCTAAAAAGTGTGACCTCCTCTGGACTCCTGTGGCCCTGGCTCCCATCGGCACTGAGCACAGATGGCTCGACAGCAAAATGAGAGTCAGGCTGTTTAGAATCAGCGCAGCTCCTGCCTGCAGAGTCATAGACAGAAGGCAGAGTGGTGGCCGCCGGTGGCTGGGGCAGGGAGGACTGAAGTCATTGCTTAATGACTATGGATTTTCAGCTTTTAGAAGATGAAGAGTTCTGGAGATGGGTTGCACAGCAGTGTGAATGTATGTAGCACCACTGAACTAAAAAATGGCTGAGATGGTAAATTTTACGTTATGTGTATTTTGCTACAATTGAGAATTTTTTTTTTTTTTTAAAGAAAGGAACAAAAACAAGCAGGACAGCTTCTTATAACGGGCAAATAACTCAGGTGATTGTGTGCAGATTAAATGTGATCCGCAGGGCCTGGCACACAGCAAGTGCTCAATAACAGTGAGTGGTTGTATTTATTATCAGGGGCAAATCCTTCGCCTCTTGGTCAGTCTCATCTATAAAATGGGTTGTTTTGAAAATAAAAGGAAATCACGCATGTAGATGCCTCTAAAGGTGAGGCTACCAGCAGCAACTCTTTCCCCCAAGCCAGGGGAAAGAGAGGGAGGTCTGGGGCCAGGCCAGCAGATTCCTCAGAATTGAGGAAATCAAGGGCTGAAGGGACCTCATACATCTGTTCCACCTTCCTTTTTGTTTTGACCACTGCGTTTTGAGCATTTTTACTGGTTCCGAAGCTAATCCTTCTGCAGATTTCATTTAAACCTCGTGATAGTCCAATGAAGTGGGGATTGCTATCCCATTTTACGGATCAGGAAACTGAGGCTCTAGGAGATTAAACACCTGGCCAGAGAGCATGCTCAGTAAGTGGTAGAGCTGGGACTCCCACCCTGGCCAGCCTGGCTTTGAAGTCCACGCTTCAACCACTCTGCTCTCTTGCCCTGGAGTCAGCAGCAGAGGCAGGACTGGAAGCCAGGTGTCCTGCCTCCTCCGTGTCTGGGCTTCTGCACATATACCTATGTTTGGGGTCAGGGAAGTGCTGACTGTGACTCCCTAGCCTTGTCCCCCTGGGCTTGGCCTTGCCCTGTTTCCTTCCACTCAGAATTTCTGGATCTTCCTTAAGTAAATGGTCACTTAATATCTGCCAGGCTCAGCTCCCAGCCGGAGGACCTAAAACTGGTATGAAGAGAATGGAAAAAAGGAGCCCTGACTCTCTGCCCCAGCCTGTCCCAAACACTGACTCTGATCTGCACCCAGGCCTCTTTATTTCGACCCTGACCAGGCTTCTAATGTTTAACCCACAGGTGAACCCTGGCTCTGGTTAAAAAGCCACAAAACCATTATACAAGTTTCAAGGTCCTCACCCCAGCACACATAGTCAACTCAAATCCACACTCTCACAACAGTCCGTGCCCGGAAGAGCTTGCTGACTCATGGACTTTCCAGATGTGTTGGATGAGTCATTTGCTCTTGCGTCAAGCACATAGCTGCCGAACACCCTCTTGCCAAGCGTGCAGTCTTAAAGCAATTTCCCAAATCCATAGAGGCCAAAAAGAAAATGCGTGCTCTCATCCTTCCCTCTCTGCTGCCTCCCTGTTGTCTTCGCCTGGTGTCTTAGTCTGTGTCATGTTGCTATAACCGAATACCTAAGACAGGGTAATTCATAAGCAATAGAAGCTTATTTGGCTCGTGGTTCTGGAGTCCGGGAAGTCCAAGAGCATGGCACCAGCATCTGGCAAAGGCTTTCGTGCTGTGTCATCCCATGGCAGAAGGTGGAAGGGCAAGAGAGGGTGAGGGCAAGCAAGGGTAAGAGGACTGAGCTCTTGTTTTTTTTTTTTTTTTGAGATAGGGTCTTGCTCTGTTGTCGTGGCTAGAGTGCAGTGGTGTCATCATAGCTCACTGCAACCTCCAACTCCTGGGCTCAAGCCATCCTCCTGCCTCAGCCTCCCAAATATCTGGGACTACAGGTATGCGCCACCACATCTGGCTTATTTTCAAAAATTTTATATAGAGACAGGGTCTTGCTATGTTGCTCAGTCTGGTCTTGAACTCCTGGCCTCAAGCAATTCTCCTACCCAAAGTGCCCCAAAGTGCTGTGATTATAGGCATGAGCCACCGTGCTTAACCAGAAATTGCTTTTATCGGGAACTTGCTCCCTGATAAATGAATAACTACATTAATCCATTCACAAGGACAGACTTAATGGTCCCACCTCTGAATAGCATCGCAATGGTAATTAAATCCAACATCGGGTTTTGAGAGGACAGTCAAACCACAGCACCTGGCAAGCTTTTACTCACTGTGCAAGAGGCATCTCCCCAGAGTCTGCACTGGCCTCTCCAGCCCACCGAACACACACAGCAGCACAATCACACACGTGTGCCTTGCCCACCAGCCTAGGTGTCCCTTGAAGGCCAGGACAACATCTTTTTCGTCTCTGTGTCCCCAGGACTCGCTGTAGTAAATGGTCTTAAATATTGGAGACTATTCATTGTCTATTGCTATATAACAAATTATCCCAAAATTTAGTGGTTTAAAACAACACATTATTTATTATCTCAGTTTCTGTGGGGCAGGAGTCCAAGCGTTGCTTAGCAGGTCCCCGGCTCCGGACTGCTCAGGGTCTTTTTGGGGCTGGATCTTCCCCTAGGCTCACTGTAATGGTTGTTTGCATAACTCGGTTCCTTGCGGGTTGTTGGAGCGAGGGCCTCAGTTTCCTGCTTGGGGGCCGTTGCTACTTGCGCTTCTCCAAAGACCAGCTCACCAGGTGGCAGCTGGCTGCTGTGGGAGTGAGTGCGTGAGGCGTAAGAGATGGAGAGAGAGACAGAAGCCAGAGGCTTTGGGGACTTAATCTCGGAAGTGACAGCGCATCTCTTTTGCTGTATCCTGTCCTTTAGAAGCAAATTACCAGGTCCAGCCCACCCTCTAGGGGAGCGGATTACACAAGGGCCTGGGCCCTTGGAGGCCATCTTAGAGACTGCCTGCCCCAGACACCTGAGACCCCAAACCGTCACATTGCCTGAGTGTCAAGTGCCTTGCCCTTTCGTGTGTTAGCTTTGTCCCTTGGGCGAGTGGCTTAACCTCACGTGCCTACAATTCTCAGCTGTAAAATGAGGATAATACCTTATCTCATGAAATCTCAGATGGAATCTATGGAAAGGTAGCATTATTTTATAAACCATTAAGAGGGGCCGGGCGTGGTGGCTCACGCCTGTAATCCTAGCACTCTGGGAGGCCAAGGCGAGAGGATTGCTCGAGGTCAGGAGTTCAAGACCAGCCTGAACAAGAGCGAGACCCCGTCTCTACTAAAAATAGAAATAAATTATCTGGACAACTGAAAATATATAGAAAAAATTAGCCAGGCGTGGTGGCGCATGCCTGTAGTCCCAGCTACTCGGGAGGCTGAGGCAGGAGGATTGCTTGAGCCCAGGAGTTTGAGGTTGCTGTGAGCTAGGCTGACGCCACGGCACTCTAGCCCGGGCAACAGAGCAAGACTCTGTCTCCAAAAAAAAAAACTATTAAGAGGTACTAAAAGGAGATAGTCTCATGTACATAAAGAAAGGGGCCTTAAAAGAGATGGCAGGTGCTGAGGGTGCACTGAAGAGAGAACACGTCTGTGGCTTGGGGGCGAGGAAATCTAGGCAGGCTTCTTGGAGGAAGCAGTGTCAGCTCAGCTTCGAGGGCAGGGAAGACTGGTACAGGTAGAGATGGGGTTGGAGCTGTGCGGTGACCACAGCCAGGGAACACACAGGGAGCCCACCTCCAAGCCCTTGAGAGCCAGACCTTGAGGAAGGCAAGGGGTGGGGTGGGGTGGGGTGGGGAACGCCCTCCACTCCAGGAGCCTCACCGCTGTGATTGCATCTGTTCCCCACACCGGAGCTTATCCTCATTTTTCAGATGAAATAACGGGAGCACAGTCGTGCTGGATCCAGCCCAGCTGAGTCAGGTCAGCAGCTATGAGTCGCACCCTCCGTGGAAGCGGCCTGGGTCTCCACGCGCCCTCTGGGAGGAGCAGGCAGAGCTATGGCCTAACAGTTAATGCCGCTAGATTTTCTCCTTGAAAACATGACACCCACCAGAAGTAAGATGAGAGACTGTGCAGATATACATATTTAATTTAAAGTTGTTTGTGCATGATAATTTATCATGTGTATGTATGATAATGATAATTTATCTTTACTCTTTGCCTGAGCAGCTTTTATAACAGTGCATTTCGGGGCCCTAGTTCTTCTACTTCTACCAAACTCGTCCACTTTTTGGATTTCAGGTCCCTCCAGGAAGCTAGAATGCCAACCTGTCCCGTTCAATGCCAGAACTTGGCCACCTTCTCCCTTGGAGAAATCAAAGGGAACAATAAATAATAAGACTATTATTTAAAAGCTATTACAAAAGCTCCCACGTGCTGAGCGCTCCCGTATGTGGTCTTGCGTAGCTACAGCGCTCGGGAACGAGGGCCAGATCGCCCTGAGTTACAGACAAAGCGTGGAGCTCAGGAGGTGCAGGGTCACAGAACCGGTAACACAGGTGCTCTTGAGTTTTTCAAATACGCAGGACCCGATGACTATTGACTGGGTCTGCCTCTTCTCCTGCCTGAGCCCGTTTCCTCCTCAGTAAAATGGGGCCCGCGGGTTTAGCCAGGGTGCCCAAAATTTCCCTTGTTAAACAGCGCCGGTATCCGGGCCCCACCACGAGCCCACGGCATGGACAGGTCTGGGCAGGGGCCTGAGAAGCTGCCTATGCAGTCATATCGCCGCGGCCCTTATCTTGCGAGAAA